CCAGGTTTTAGATGGTTTAGTGTGTTAATATCCAGGTTTTATTCGGTTTAGTGCGTTAATATCCAGGTTTTAGATGGTTTAGTGTGTTAATATCCAGGTTTTATTCGGTTTAGTGCGTTAATATCCAGGTTTTAGATGTTTTGCAGACACTGTGAGTTGGCCTTGAAGGCAATGTTTGTGGTGGCGTTTCAGAGGGAAAAGTCTGACGTAAGGCTTTGGGTGGACCAGCTCAGGGGAATCAACGACTACACAGTCAAGCAGTGCAATGTTTTACCTGAGGCTCATCAATGAAGAAGCTCACGCATCCTGACCCAACGTTAAAGTCGATCCAGAACTCGTCCAGTTTGTCGTCTTGTGGACGAAACAGCTGCAGAAGTAAATATGATGTGAGCAAGTCTGAGTAAAACCTGAAGTTTACACCGAAAGGTTCAACGTTTACCTGTGTGGAGTTGAGAAAGGCTCGCAGGCAGGGGAAGGTGTAGACCCTGACAGACACCATGCAGGGAAAAAGTGAGGTCCAGAAAGGTCTCAGGTGTTTCATTTGTTCAGGTTCAAATGTTTATACCGTCTCTGGTCTCCATGGTGACGGTTAACAAAGTTCAGGAAGCGTCTGCAGTCCTGGAGAGACAGACAGGTGATCAGACAGACAGACAGACAGACAGACAGACTGACTGACAGGTAAGTCACTCACCACCTCGAAGTCTGCGTCTCTGATGTTACAGAAGGCGCTGCTGATGTCATGGCTGGAGAACCACTGATTGGCTCTCTGCTGGCGCTCCCTGCGTGGCGTCAGGCGACACAGAGCCTCTGATAGGCTCACCTGCAGCTCATAATCTGAAACACAGAGAGAACTACAAATATGGCCGCCAGTGCACAGCTGCACTGAAACAGTCAGCTGACCATGGAGCTGCTCAGGCTCTGATTGGAGGATCAGTCCTCAGGTGAAGGACATCACCTGGACTGCACTCTAACCTGTAACTCCTCTCAGTTACAACATTGTCGTGTCATTTGGGTGAAGTTTAGAGATTCCTGATAGAAACTCACCTCCAACTGTGAGAACAGCTGCTGCAACCTGAGAGCTGAGAGACACAACGCAGTATCAGAGTATCAGAGTACTGCAGTATCAGAGTATCAGAGTACTACAGTATCAGAATACTACAGTATTACAGTATCAGAGTACTACAGTATCTGGTTCTGCTCGTTCTGGATCAGCCTCCTCTGTTCTCGGCTCAGAGACTCCAGGATGCTGTTGAAGGTTCTGATGGCCTGAAAGCAGAGAAAATACTTTGGAATCAGTCCAGACCGGTACAGACCAGTATAGACCAGTCCAGACCAGTCCAGACCAGTAGAGACTAGTAGAGACCAGTATAGACCAGTCCAGACCAGTAGAGACTAGCAGAGACCAGTACAGAACAGTCCAGACTAGTAGAGACCAGTCCAGACCAGTCCAGACCAGTGCAGACCAGTGCAGACCAGTACAGACTAGTAGAGACTAGTAGAGAATAGTACACACTAGTAGAGACCAGAAGAGACCAGTCCAGACTGGTACAGGTTGTTGCTATGGTTACCTCCAGTCTCAGTGGGAAGTGGATTTCAGGTTCCAAAGAGAATCGAGCCAACTGACGAAGAACCACAGACAGCTGACTGCCTGCAAGACAGACAAACAGACAGACAGACAGGCAGACAGGTGAGTTTTAAAACCATCATGTGATTTGATAATACATTAAAAAACAAAAATAAAAATCAAACCTGGAAGAGTAGCTTGACCCAGCAGCTAAAGGACAGACAGACAGGTTAGTTCCTCTCATCATGTAAACACCTCTCAGGTAAACGTGACATCAGAGCTCCTTGTTAGACTCAAACTAATGTTGGATGGAGACTCGTGAGGCGTTTAGGGAACATCTGGAAATCACATCCTCAGAAAACGGTCTCATTAAAACCCTCCACATGAGCGACTTCATTAGCTGGCGGAGTCACACAACAGAACCATACCTGGCTTACCTGGCCTGGGACTAAGACAGTTGCAGACTTCATTACCCAGCATGCTGCTCACCAGGAAGTAGTCAAACAGCTTCTCAGTCAGACTCAGCAGGGGGGCGGAGCTTCTCTGGAGGTCAGACGTCAGCAGGTCACTGACGGCTTCAAACCACAACAACACCTAAACAATAATCAATGATCAGTACGGACCAATCAGATCACCTGGTCAGCACGGACCAATCAGATCACCTNACGGACCAATCAGATCACCTGGTCAGCACGGACCAATCAGATCACCTTTGCGGTCAGTCCCAGGCTGATGAGCGTCTGCAGGTCGTTGGCGTTTTCTGACAGAACCGATAAAGACTTCAGAACCAGGACAGCTCTGCTGAAACCAGATGCACACAGGTCCTGAAACAAACAAGAAATGATTCAGGTCCACAAAGGTTCTGAAACAAACAAAGACACAGTGTTAACAGTTGCCATGGCAGCGCCCTCCACGTTACCTTGGTAACCAATGTGTCCAGCCTGGTGATGGTGGTGTTGGTGAGTCCTTCACGGCGCAGCAGAGAAACCAGCTGGGCCGGGTCCCTGCCCTGCACACAGTTCTCCAGCAGAACCTCAAACTGAGACCAGAACAGGTTGTTCATCAGAACCTCAGCCTGAGACCAGAACAGGTTCTGCCTTCAGGCCGTGGCCCAGTCCCGCTCTGACACAAACACAACAGCTGAACAGAACACCTGTCGTGAGCCTGAAGCTACTGATAAAAACAGGACCGACGTGGACCACGACCCAGAACCTTCTGTGTTCTGAAAGGCTTTTCTCGTGTTCACAGGTTGATGTGAACTTCTACAGAACCATCGGAACCAGCAGGGGGCGCTGCAGGACAGCTCTACAGGAGCAGACCTGGAGGCCTCCCGCTGGTCGATGCAGAGTATTGATCGTTATCAGGACCCACACTGACGTCATGCCAAACTGATCAATAACATCTTTCTGAGGAGCGATCCCAGCAGCCAATCACAGGACGCTCTCATAAAAGTGACGATCAGTCAGATTCACAATCAATCGATCCGTCATTGATCCGATAAGAGCCGCTGCTTTACCATCGCGTCTCTGCTCCGTCCTCGGCGTGTCGGGAGCGCGCACAGCTGCCGCTCATCAGCTCATCAGCGCCGAGGCCGCGCAGCAGCACAAAGACAAACTAGTCCCGACAGCGGCGGAGGGATACCAGCGGCCTCATTATTCCATCCATTTTCTATACACCGCTTAATCCTCATTAGGGTCGCGGGGGGGCGGAGTCTATCCCAGCTGACTCAGGGTGAAGGCAGGTTCACCTGGACAGGTAACCAGTCTATCACAGGGCTCCTATTACTGTAGTTGTTGTTGTTGTTGTTGTTGTTGTCACTAACAAACAGTCATAGTGACACTAATGCGGAGGAACGTGGAGTCTGTGGAGCTTCACACCTGACCATTTCAATCGCTTTGTCTCCATGACAACAAGCATGTAAACGTACAGGTGCTGAACGGAACCCAACATGTCACACTTCACTTCATCAACATTTGACGGAACAGATGTTCTGAAACACCTGAATGACGTCACACGTCCTGACAGGTGAGCAGCTCGTCGTCCTCTAATGGATGACTAATGAGTTTGTTTGTTTTGGTAGAAACACCAAAGTGTTGACACAACACACACACACGCACACGCACACACACACACACACACACACACACACACACACACACACAGGGGAACAGGTGTGTGTGTTTCTGTGAATCAGCACCTTTAAACCTGGAACAGTGAAAGTCGTGGAAAGCTCCAGTCAAACTTACTGTTTGTAAAACCGGCTCAGATCTGAGTGGAGTCTGGTGTGCAGTCCAGGAGCAGCTGAACCTCACATTCAAACAAAACCCACCAACCAGACTACGTTCACTTTTCTCTCGATTTAAGGATGTGGCGTTTCATTTCTGCCGGGTTCTTTTTTCCTCTGTTCTCTGCGTCTGTTCTCTTTTATTTTGCCCTTCCTTCCTTCCTTCCTTCCTTCCTTCCTTGCTTCCTCCCTCCCCCCCTCCCTCTGCAGGCTCGTCACCGTCTCACCTGTCCGCTCACTCCTTCCAGACTGCGCGCGGAGTTGCACGCGCTGTCGGGAGAATTAAATAGAAATTAATTAAAGCTGAATCAAATTTAATTAAACTTTAAATACATTGAAATAACATTTAATACAAATTTGGCCTGTTTAAGTTTCACAGTGAAACTTTTCCTTCAGTTCGGTCTGTTTTCAGTCTGAGCTGAAACTGGGACCAGGAGGACCCGGACCAGGAGTACCCGGAGCAGGGGGACCCGGACCAGGAGGACCCGGAGCAGGAGGACCGGACCAGGAGGACCCGGAGCAGCAGCATGTCCCGGGCGGAGGAGCGGGACGAGGCGGACTGTGTGTGCTCCGTCGGGATGAAGCTAACGTGGGACATCAACGACCCCAAACTGCCGCAGGTAACCGATCCATCAGCTGGATCCACTATTGATGAGACAGAACCGACCCATTCTGGACTCAGATGTACCACAATCCTCTCTGCGGTTCCTCTGGGTTCCGATGACGGAACATCTGAAGCAGAAACAGACGCAGAAAAACAGGAAGAACCTGCAGACGGGTCGTCCTGGAGCTGCACGGCTCTGATAGGTAGAACTTGTTCTGGAGAACATCTCCGGAGGGTTCTGTGGGTCGTCTGACAGTTCGGTTGGACGTAGATGCGTCTCGACAATTAAAAGACTCAGAAAACAAAAAGAACTCAGAACCGAACAAAGAGAAACAAAACGAGACGCGACAGACAAAATGAAGAAGGTCCAGAAACAGAACTCCGAGGTTCTGAAACGGTCCGAGACTTGTACAGAGTTCGGTCCGAGACTAAAGTTTACAGACTATTTTTAAAGTAATTATATCAGAACTAATTAGAGTCAAATTAAAGCGAATAAAGGTGAAAACATGAGCGACGATTTAAACACAAAGTTTAGGGTTTTCAGAGTTTGGTTGGATCCGAACCCATCAGAACCAAACAGGCTTACACAGAAAAATACTGCCTGACGAAAAAAATGAATTATTATTATTATTATTTTATTAGTCTCTTTAATTCTACTTTAATTAGGCTTTTCTTTTATGGATTCATTTTTGATTAATATTGCTTTATAAACATTAAAAATGAATTATTATTATTATTTTTTTATTAGTCTCTTTAATTCTACTTTAATTAGGCTTTTCTTTTATGGATTCATTTTTGATTNAATAATAATAATAATAATAATAATAATAATAATAATAAAGGAGTCCGAGCTCGCTGCGGTGATCATCAGATTAAATATCTTCACCAGAACAAAACAACAATAAGAGAAACAAATGAGGCCGAACTGATTCAGACTGAACAGAACACGTCTCAGCGGCCCGTGAAGCCTCCAACAGCGGCACCGACGGCGGTTCGTCTCCAGTTTTACGTTTCAGACGATCAATAACCAGATCAGAAGCTGATCAATAATCCAAGCGGCTGCTTCATCTGGAAAATCAGAATCTGCAACCAAACGACAAATTAAATCAACCTTCTTCCACTCCTGTGATGTCTCTGATCTGAAACCCCTGAAACAACCAGTTACTGTCCAATTAAATCTATTGTTAAATTATATATAATACAACAATATATTATAATTAATATGTTGATAAATTTAATATAATTTAACAATATATTATATATACAACAGTATACTATACGTAATATACTGTTAAATGTTTTAAAACATTATCTATAATGTTATATATTAAATCTAATATACTGTTATAATGAATGTTCTGTTCTATTATATGTAATAGAACCATTTATTATAGTGAATGTTCCGTGTTGTCCAGATCTGAGCAGCTTCACGCGTTTCTCCGTCTTCAGGTCATAAAGCATGAATGCTGCTGTGAGGATGAAGTCACATCAAGGAGCCGCTTCGCTGTGATTTTAGCTTCCAGCAGAACTTGAAATGAAATCATTCGTTCTTAAAGCTTTTGTCCAAAACAGTCAGGTTTTGTTAGATTTTTATAAATGACTGTTACCAGATCACATTATTGGTAATAATTAATCACATCACAGATTTGTATTATTAAATTAAATGACTTTAAATTAGAATGATCTGCTGATATTGCAGCTAAACAACATTATTAATCAGGATCTTTATGGCTACAGCAGCCCCATCAAATATAAAACTAAACAGGCATAAAAATAAGATCAATAAATAGGCACCAAGTGTGCAAAAGATGGATTTAAAAACGCGTGTACACAAAGAGTCAAAACATTTGTATTATTGCCTGAAATCAGGACACGTGTCTGCTGCTGCTCTCCATCTGAATGATTCAGTTAATTATGAACGACATTAGTGTCACTACTAGTACACCAGTTCACAGTGTCTGTCCTGAAGGTTCTCTGAAGGTTCTCTGAAGGTTGTCTCCGTGTTGTGGGAATCGCTGACTCGACTCTTCGTTCTGTTGTTGCTCAAACAGAAAAAACTGGTTTTAATGTTTTTGTTTCCAGTGAAAACAGTTTGAGATCTGATCTGGAATCAGCTCCCACATCGATCAATAGCTCCCACAGCGATCGATAGGTCCCACAGCTATCAATAGTTCCCACAGTGATCGATAGCTCCCACAGCGATCGATAGGTCCCACAGCGATCAATAGCTCCCACAGCTATCAATAGGCCCCACAGCGATCAATAGCTCCCACAGCGATCGATAGCTCCCACAGCGATCGATAGGTCCCAAAGCGATCAATAATGCTGATCAGGCTTCAGACTAACGGCAGCAGCCACTAACAGGAGACGCTCTGAACTCTCGTTTCTTGACATAAACAGACTTTTACTTTGAAACACACGCTTCGACCAGAAATAAAACATTTAATTGAACAGTTGATTAAAAGTGAAACTAATTAGTTCAAAGTTGGTTTAATTAAAGGAATTGGCGCGTTTAAGAACACTCCCTGCCAAAAGTATGTGGACGGCTGAATGCTCTGGTAATACTAATTAACATAGAGTTGATCTCAACGTGTCCACATACTTTTGTCACTTCTTCTTCTCTAAACCATTTAATTGAGTCGAACACACTGTGCGTCCACATGCTGCTGTCCTGATGAGCAGGTACCTGCAGAAAGGTGCTGGTTTCTCAGAAACACGTACACCAGTTGGCCAAAAGTATGTGGACAGCATATGATGCGCTGGCTCTTAAGGGTGTCCACATACTTTTGGTCATATACTGTAATACGTTACATGTGAAACAGGATTTTGTACTTAGATGTTCGGCTGTGTATTTGAACACACAATATTTAAATCCTGAAAGCAAGAACAACAACATTCTAGTTTCCCCACCAATTCTAATTACTCATAAAAAGTCGTCTGTAGCTGATCAGATCATCAAATGAAACGTTCTGATTCTCATCCAGCAGTTTGTTCAGCAAGAAACGAACCCATAATGGATTCAGATTAAAACTCTGTCAGACTGAACAGAGAGAGTAAAAATTAATCTCAGTAATAAGCTGATCCAACAATATTCTGTCACACATCAGAATCACGCTCGCGGCCTAAAGGTAGAACCAGATCGACCCGAAGAGCTTCACATCAGGAAGGGAACAAAAAGAAAAGACGGTAAATGAAGCAGCTTCTGTCGGCTCTGGTCTGGGGAACATGTCAGAGGCAGAGGTTCTCAGGGATCTAGACGGAACAAATAAACAGTTGAGACATTTAAAGAGAACAAATAGAACCAGTCAGTGACTTTCTGCAGTTTGTTTCCATGATCCAGTCTGAGGCAGAACCACAGGAACAGTGCTCAGACAGTCCAGGTTCTGATGTTTCTGAGGTGGTGATAAAATAATAATAATAATAATAATAACAATAATACAATTTATTTGTATAAATCTCAAAGACGCTTTACAGGATAAAAGAAAAATAAAACTCATCCAAAAGCAGACGAAGCAGAAACACAAGCGAGCAGATAAAAACAATAGAAGAACCTCAGCAGCCGCTAGAACCTTCTAACTCACGCAGGAGACCCGCAGAACCACAACAAGGGAAGTAGATGCTTTGCAGATCAGAAGGAAAATGAAAAATGACATCATGTTAAAGTTTACGTATCAGCTGTAGAGTCCTGTGATGGCTCGGTTCTGACTCGGTGCTGCTGCTCGGTGAGACCCGGTGAACTGCTGCCACGAGTTCTGCTGCTGTGATGAAACTAATTCTGTCTGTCCGTCCGTCTGCAGGACACGAAGCAGTTCGACCCGTTCCAGGAGTGGACCGACGGCTACGTTCGGTACATCTACAGCGGTGAGAAACATCTCAGCTCAGGGTTCAAAGACTAGCTCCTACATGTTCATCCACACCTGCTTAAGTCTTGCTACAGAAGACACAGGTATGAATGACGAAGTGGCTTCTGGGATAGATCCTGGATGTCTCCACGTGATCCGGCTTTACTAAACCTGACAGTCAGGTTAAGGTTCACAGGACACTGGTCACCAGCTTGGTCAGCGTCCTGAAGTCCAAAGCGGACAGTTCAGCTAACTATCTTGCTTTGCTGGCCGGTTTGGTTTGTGGCTGAAGGTGTTCGTAATCTCAGTAAATATAAACCCGTGTTTGACTCGAAGGTGTTTTTGTGCTGCAGCGGAGGACAAGAACGCTCAGAGGCACCTGTCCGGCTGGGCCATGAGGAACACCAACAACCACAACTGTCAGATCCTGAAGAAGTCGTGTCTGGGCGTGGTGGTCTGCTCTCGAGGCTGCACGCTGCCGGACGGATCCAGGCTGCAGCTCCGCCCCGCCATCTGCGACAAGGCCCGGCAGAAACAGCAGAGTAAGAAAGACCTGGACCTGTTCAGGTGTGCAACACCAATGTGTTCTCGTGTACCTGACGGGATCTGTGTGTTTCAGAGAAGCTGTGTCCGAGCTGCAACGCCGCTCTGGAGCTGCTGCCCTGCCGCGGTCACAGCGGTTACCCCGTCACCAACTTCTGGAGGGTCGATGGGAAGGCCATCTTCTTCCAGGTCCACACCTCCACCCTGCTCAGGCTGCTAGCACGCAGGCTAACATGCTAACACAATAACCAGCTTCACACAGTGCACTCAAAGCAATCTGAAGATGCCAAAACCAGATCAGGAACGGGTTTAAACTGGATTTTTAGTCTTAAAATATGACTAATCCAGATCAGGAGAAAGATTTAACCTGAGTTTTAGTCTCACAACAGGCCTGAACCAGATCAGGAACAGGTTGTAACCTCATGCTAACAGATCAGCTTAAATCTTTTCCTGACAACAGAAATAAACCTAAACTAGTTACTGGCAGGCCTGCAGGTGTCTCAGTGGTTAGCACCGTTAGCAACTTCAGCTAGAAGGTTGCCGGTTGTCGTCCCGGTGAGGACACCCGGGATCTTCCTGCGTGGAGTCTCCATGTTCTCCCCGTGCAGCGTGGGTTCTCTCCGGGTTCTCCGGCTTCCTCCCACAGTCCAGAAACATGCTGAGGTTAATTGGTGATTGTAAATTGTCCGTAGGTGTGAATGTGAGTGTGCTTGGTTGTCTGTCTCTAAGTGTAGCCCTGTGATAGACTGGTTACCTGTCCAGGTGAACCTGCCTTCACCCTGAGTCAGCTGGGATAGGCTCCGCCCCCCATGACCCTGGTGAGGATGAAGGTGTAGAGATGATGGATGGTTGGTTACTGGCAGTATAACAAACACATCTAAACCTGATTAGAACAGGTTTAAACTGTGTTCTAACAGGAAAACTAGAACTGTTCTGACCCAGATTCTGACCTCCAGATCTGTTGTTGTTTCTTCAGTTGTTGCTTTTTGTTTTGCTGTTGTTGTGTTTATTGTTGTTGCTTTTGTGGTCCTCCAGGCTAAAGGGGTCCATGACCATCCCAGACCAGAATCCAAATCAGAGACTGAAGCCAGAAGAAGTTCAGTGAAGAGACGAGTTAGTTCACCTCCGTTTACACCGAAGAGACGACTCATCGAAACACAGGTCAGCACCAACAAACAACAACAACAACAACAACAACAACAGTGTAACCGTTGGTGCTGTTTGTTTATTGTTTGTTTCTTTACTGCTCAGGCTCTTGGCCCTGCCCTCCTCTCCTGCGTCGAACCAGCAGAAAGAATCTCCTTCATTGAGCCAAACTTCCCGCAGCATTACCCAGCATTTCAAAGCCCAGATCCCTACTACAACCCCCACAATGCACTGGGAGAGGCCCCGCCCACACTTCAGAAACCAGCCAATCCCAGGCTGTACATGAGCCGACCCAGCTACGAGTTCCAAGGATACCTGACCTCACCTTCATATCCTGTGACCTCTGATCTCTGCGACCCCAGGTCAGTCTTACCCACTCAAAACCAAATCCTGCTGTGTAAACCAGTGTGAACCAGAAAGAACCAGATCAGGAACAGGTTTAAACCAAATCCTCAGTGTCAAAAAAGGCCTAAACCAGATGAGGAACAGTTTAAAATCCAATTCCGTTTAAACCCGCTACTAACAGGATCAACGGATCTAAACCAGATCCTGGCAGGATCATTAGAACCAGGTCCAAACCAGAATTACTGTCAACTATATGAACAGGTCTAAACCAGATCCTGGTGTGTCTGCAGGGTGACTCCAGTCCTCGGCTCCTCCTCCTCGTCTTCATCGTCGGCTCCTCTGTCCTCCTCCTCGTCCTCCTTCGACCCGCAGACGAAGCCTCCACCTAATTGGAAGGAGCTGCTGAAGAGCTCCGCCCCCTACAGCGACAACCACCATTACTACAGCACTGAGTACCCCTGCCGTTACCCAAGCAACACGCCAGGGTCACCAGCCGCGCTGCAGACCATCATCACCACGACAACCAAGGTGAGGAAGGTGTCAGGTCCATTAGGATCTACAGGGGTCAGGTGTGTCTCCTCTGTTAGGGTCTACAG